AATTCCTTGCGATTACCAATTGTACCAGCAAGATTTGTGCTAACAAAAAAATGACTCATGATTCATAGCATCTGTTTAAAGTTAAACAATACCAGACATCACTCCAAAATACTTAAAGGATCACATTACAGTGTTTTTCATTAACTGTTCAAACCATTTATGTAGATTAGAATCTTAAGATTAATAATGTATAATCTTAAATTGTTTGTTTTCTAAAGTAACTCATTCACTTTTGTGCAAAGATTCCTTTCTATCTTAAAGTCCCACATGTCTCTTTTTGTATTCCATGCAAGAACATCATATGGATTTAGAACAACATGGAAGTGAGAAAATTATGACAGAATTTACATTATTTATTATTTACACTAACATTTGTAGTATTTCCTATGAAATGATTACTCAAATTGTTTCATTTAAAATAGTCTTTGCTTACACTAACGTATACCTCCCTTTTCTCTATAAAAATTATGCCTTTCTCAACTATTTACCATCTATTTCTGCCTACAAAGCATTGCTGTGGAACCGTCTTTATTGTCTCAAGTTTCTTACACAATCTACCCTTGTTTCATCTTGATATTTATTTTGCTGTATGTCTGAGGTTCTGCCAGATGTGCTGTGGGTGGCTGTCCAGGAGACTTGCAGTGAAGTCCTGGATCAGAGCCTGGACTGGTCTCTGAGCAGAACTGCTAATTCAAGTCGTTTGTGCACAAATATAGACTGTAGGTGGAGTCAGGTTCAGGTGACATGATTCAGGAGACAAGCCAAAATCTTCTTGTTCTGGACACCTCTAATATCATAACTCACAAATTATGTCAATCAATGCCACATCATGCCAGTATAGGGGTAAATATACAAGAGAACATGAAAAGAGAGCGGCGTGTGTAGTGTGTAAAAATAAAAATTTTATTGTTAGAATGCCACGAACATGCTTAAAATCTGTCATTATTGTAACCCATTATCATTAAGTATTAAGTAAGAATTTACATTATTTTAAAATGTTATGTGATTCATCTTGTTTTCTATTGGACGTATATATTTGAGACCAAAATCTTTGTTTTAAACAATATCGCATAAATATTAACAACATCAAATAAATACTTATAAGATAAATATGAGATAAAAACACAGACCTCAACTATGACAACAGTAACAATCAACTAACATCTCATTTTGAGCAGAGGAACAAGTGCACACTGACATCACAAGACAATAATTTACTAAACATGACAATAAAATGGTTAAGTTATGCAATCAAATTGATACAGTTTAAGAGGGCGAATGAAATTGAACAACAGAGCTTTAGTCTATTTGAACTCCAAAGAAAAAAACTGCATTAATCCAACTCACCTGCAGTGCTTATTGATTTGAATTTGTCATTTGTCCCAAAAATGAGCAATTAATCTTTGGTTGTTTTTATATTTACTTTTTTCTTTTTTTACAGCGTGTGACAAACATATCAGAGATGGGTTAAAGGAGAGAAAGTGGAACAGTTTTATGATAAACATGTAGTGAAAGAGACAGCAAATGATCACAGGATAATTTCTGTCTTTTCTAATCAGCGCATGACATCACACAGATCCGTCTCTGCTCCCCTAAACTCTTTGCAGATGGCCATGCCTGGAAACTGAAACTCTGTCTCAAAGCATAAACAGAAAGAACTGCTCTGTGACGGACACAAATGTGGGAGAGTCAAAACATATGGGATCTGAAACCATTACATCTGCCTAAAGTTCAGTCTTTGACAGCTTTGACCCCTAATCATCCCCATATTGACCTCAACCTTCCTTGAGGTCAACCATCAATTGGCTGTTTGTCTTTTTGACCCATTCCCTGACTGATTAAGGGAAGTGCGTTTTTATTGATTGCTAAAAGTCACAGGGAGGCCATGATGTGCACTTGCTGTTCCTGTACTGATTCCTACTTAACTGCCCATAAGTTATATATGGCTGTCAGCTGTGTTACCCAGCAAAAACGTGTTCTAAGAATGTTTTGCTAAAGTTTCCATTAAGTACAGTATTTCTGAATATTTAAAACATCCAGTTTTGTAATGTTTAAAAAAAAAGATTATTGTCAAGCAAACATTAAGGGAACATTCCATTTTATAATTTTGCAGACATTATTGGAATGTTACTTCTGAATGTTCTCTAAACGTTCTGAAAAAAAATTAGTTTTAGAAATAAAACATTCCATTAATCATGTATAAATCACATTTTTGACAACTTTATTAAATACTAGATAACTCTGAACAAACGTTTTTCTAACATTACTGGAAAAGATCGTTTGTTCATAACTTTAATACAACTTTGCCAGAAAGTTCGCCAAAGTTCTGAGAATGCTGCCAAAGCTCTTCCCGTTTCCCTTACATGGTCTAAAATGTAAAACTTGATCTAATGTGCAAATTTATCAGGCTCACAAAATAAGTATCTCTTCATACTGGACCGTGAAGCCGTAGTTTTGTTAAATATATATCTTTCTAAGCAAAGAAAAGGCTATTTTATGATATAACACATCATGAATCATTCATTTTTTATGATTTCTCTCTCTCTCTCAAATCATTCCATATGATTTATATGTACCTATTATGTCTAAAAGAAACTTTATCTGTTTGTTTAATTTTCGATAGCCAAACAGAACTTGTTAGCAAGGTGTTGGGTGATGTTCCTTGCACAAATTTCTCATTTAGGACATACATGGTCAATATTACTCATTCCAAGATTATGATGTTATTTCAATCCTGCAATAAATGTGGTTTTATTAATGGGGAGGACTTGTATCTAATAAAACCATATTTGTTCTGAATTCATTCTTGTCTTACATTCAGATGTAGGAGTGATTTCACTGCCATCCTTGCTCTGAAGTATAAACGTATGAACTGCAAATTCATTCAGGCTGCTTGTTCTGTTGGGTAATGGTGGACATTGCTCACAGGCTTTTCTTGTGAATCAGAATATGGTCAGGACCGGGCCAAAGAATCTTCCATCTTAATTTAACACAAGCTCATGTTCACTCACCCTGCCATATGTAGCCCACGCATCAGTCTGTCTTATTCTTTCCTGAGGTGTTTCTCCTTTAATGTGCACACATAATTCCAGATGGATCAAAGATATGTCTGCCTGTAAAAAGCTGCTGTGAAGTGGTAGTGATTGTTTAGTTTCCCTGTGTAGAGCAATTAACAGTGCTTGACTTTTTAACAAAATAAAGTTGAAGAATGGTTGGGAGGCCAGAAGCATATTTGTCCTCTGCGTGTTGACATACAGACCCAGAAAAAAAATAATACAGAGTGAGCAGAAAACAGAAAGAGAGACTAGACATAATTAAGGGGACTGTTAGCTGCAAGTTTTTTATTTATGGTTTCCTGTCTGCATGAAGTGTTATGTCATGACAACACTGCACCTTGAGGGCAATGGGCCAAACACATCAAATATGTCAAAGATGGCTGCCAATTTAAATGAATTAATAGGTGATATTTGTGAAGAATCACAATAAGAGACATTTCAAAACGTATGTGAAGTAATTAGAGTGTAAGAGTGCATTCAGACAGACACATATATATCAATGCAATGCAATGAATATGAATTAATTTTAAATTACCTTCACATATGTACACACACACACACACACATAAACAATTGAAATGTTTTATATTTTGTATAATAATTATATAGTAATCATATCAATATTTTTATTTATGTAATGTATTTGTATAATATTTTGAAAAATGCATAAAACAATCAGTTTTAATGCATACAATGTTTCATTTATTTATTTACCCTTTAAAGCCTGTCTAAATACGATATCTTTCAATGCATGTGAAATACTAATACTAATATCACATCTATCTATCTGTCTATCTATCTATCTATCTCAATGTTTGACCACTAAGAACTTTTACTTGCCAACACTGGCAGTTCAACACACGCAGGCTACCAAACCACCCACCAGAAATGGAGGTCATACTCAGAATGGCTCACTGATGCTAATGGTAATAATGGGAAATCAGACATCAGTGTTGCAGCAAAAGTAGCAAACAAGAATTCACTCATTCAGGACTAATTTGGCAACACGTGCCAGATCACACAGATAAGCAGTTGATCCAGAGAAATTACAGGGCCTCTCACAGCCCCACACAGACAGACTGAGCTCTGCGCTTACTCCTGCCACAATCATGGGTGCTTCTGGCAATAAAGCAAAAGTGTAACTTGATACAACTGTTTGACATTTCTTTTTCTCTATGGATTTCATGCTTTTTATCACCAAGCATGCTCTTTCATTAACCTCTGACCTCTCTACCACTAGGAGTGCAGGATGGCTCAGTGAATGAGAAGAGGGTAATTGGAGCAAGAAGAGGAGGATAAACAAAATTAGCCATTGACTCCAATAGTCTGATGTAGCTTACCTGGAGGACTACTAAAAACCAAACACCTTTCGTACAATATTTAAACATATTTTTCATGCAATAGTTATACAAAACCATACAGCCTAGCTAGTTTAATTCACTTCTCTATGCATACAAGCATATCCTTTAATGTCTTACAGGCCTACCTAAAACTAGCCTAATATCCAATATACACAAAACGATTTAAAGTAGTCAATGTAATATCTATCTATCTTTGTGACAAGGGTTCCCCTAAAGCTTGACCTAATAAATTTTTCAGTGCTGAGACTCGTCTCCTTTACTTTCTGTTTCTGAAGACTGCATACATCCTACTCATTTTTTATAAAGTAGGGAAGTAGATATAATCATGCAGGGATTATTCCCATGACAATTAAGGACAAGAATGGAACTGGTTTGTTTTGATATGAGCCCATAGAAATGGTAAAGTTCAAACACCTAAAACTATTGCCTTCTTTTTTTTATTCACTTCATTATCAAAAGTTATACAATTTAAAAAGTTGTATTTTAGTCGCAACATTACACTTGCATAATAGTATATAAAATATATTTAAAAAAACGGGCAAATTCCAAGGCACACGCGAAGGGGCCTTTCTAGGGTCTTGAACGTGGCAGTCATTATACACAAACATGGCGGCCAGATAAGAATGTAAAGTTCATTTTCGCGTGTGTATGTTGAAAAAACAAAACAAATTTAACCCACATATATTTGTCTTTCATAAAAAGTGATTTGCAATTTAGTTGCAAGTAACTTTAAAGGGAACTGAGAATGGCTGCGTGGGCTGGATTTTCAGAGGAAGAACTGCAAAGATGGAAACACAACGGCGACCTCAGTGAGTACATGTTGAATCACTCAAAAACGTTCTTCATTCGTGCAATCTGTCTGTATACGTAACGTAATGTACATATAACGATGCTGATTGTTATTTAAGTTATTAAGTACGTAAAATGTGTCTCAAACCATACATGTCGACTTGCCTAACAAGACATCGGGTTTGGATCCTCTTCTAGATTTTAAGACACGACCACTAACTCTAATTGTGAATACTGATAAATCTGCTCTAATGTGTTTTTCAGAGGAAGAACTGCAAAGATGGAAACACAACGGCGACCTCAGTGAGTACATGTTGAATCACTCAAAAACGTTCTTCATTCGTGCAATCTGTCTGTATACGTAACGTAATGTACATATAACGATGCTGATTGTTATTTAAGTTATTAAGTACGTAAAATGTGTCTCAAACCATACATGTCGACTTGCGTAACAAGACATCGGGTTTGGATCCTCTTCTAGATTTTAAGACACGACCACTAACTCTAATTGTGAATACTGATAAATCTGCTCTAATGTGCTCTTATCCAGTAAACCAGGCTGTGTCTGTCACATTGGGTCGTGGCCGGAGAGCCGCTCCGACTAACCTGAGCAGACAGCAGCTGCAGCGGGAAAGGGCACTGCAGCTGGCAGCCAAACAGAAAGAGGGCAGCCACTCTCTTCCACCCGACCAACAGCTTACCAAGCCCCCAGACCCACCTGCTATCACTCCTCCTGCTCCTGTCAAATCACAGGACGAGTCCAACCCGTTGGAGACGCAACTGGTTAAACATGAAGCAGAGCCTGTTAAGCATGACCCAGAATCACCTGCAGAGTCTGCACCACCAGCAGTCATCAAAGAGCTGGGCAAAGAGGAAGTGGAATTGTTAGTAAGTCTATTTCCTTTGCAAACACTAGCTCAGATATTCATGCACTGATGTAAATATATTTGGTATTATAATATTTTATATTAATTATTTTTAATTGATATAACTATACTGCTCCGGGTGTGTGTTCACGGTGTGTGTGTGTTCACTACTGTGTGTGTGCACTTGGGTTAAATGCAGAGCACAAATTCCAAGTATGGGTCACCATACTTGGCCACGGGTCACTTCACTTTCACTAATTTATATAACTATACAAGATAATTTTTGGATCATATTTAACTCCAAAATAAAAAAGTGACAGATATTCTAAAGCTATTTATATATAATGAATAGTGAAATAATGCTCCAAAAGTGTTCAAAAATCCTTTACTGGGTATATTAAAGTAATGCACATTAAATCTGTAGGAATCAGTGTAGATGAACATATGTTATTTTTGTGTTGTAATGGCTTCAAATATATCACTCCATCAAACTTTTCTTATGACAGGCGAGAGAAGAACCATCTGCAGCAGTTGCAGTGGGAGCAACGGATAATGGAAGAGAAGAATAAAAAAAGAAAAGCTCTCCTTACAAAAACCATTGCTGAAAAGTAAGAGCAAATCTCTAGTTTTAAACCACTATCAAAATCAATCAGTCTGGAGTAGAACCCTTTGTATGTATGAAAATCCAAATGTATTGTGTGAAAACTAAAAGCACAATGTTTTAGACATATCTATTTCCCAGGTCCAAACAGACACAGGCTGAAGCTGTGAAACTGAAGAAGATCCAGAGAGAACTTCAGTTACTGGATGATTCTGTGTCCAGTGACATTGGGATTCTCAGAAAACTGATAGAGCAATCCAGCATGGATTATTCCCAGGCATGGTAAATATGAATTTGTAGTCCATTTTTTAAGGTCCATTCCAAGTGTACTGCAAACCAAGTTCACACTAGCTTCTTGTTGAAATCCCTCTCACTTTGTTTTATGTGCCACTTCCTCAAATTTATCACCTTAAAGTAGCAAATCTACAGTGCTACCCTAACCTAGTGCATCCAGTACATAATTAATGGGGTCCTATTATGCTCTTTTACAATGTCTTGAATTTGTTTTGGGGATGTACTAGAACTTGCTCTCATGCTTGGTGGTTCGAAAAACGCATAATTTTTTTACATAATTTACATTATTACAATACCTTTCGCCCCATCCTGGCACAAACGACTCGATTAGTTCTGGTTAACTGTCCCAGTGCGTTGTGATGGGTGAACAGCTTAGACAGTGTTTCGGTATTGTCCCTCCCCTTGCTAAAGCAGCAAGTTTCGTCTGCGCCGGTTTAGTTAAGGATGGCGTCAATATTGCCATATCAATTTGAGCCGGATTCAGACCCAGAGACTATTGAACAAGAGGATCGCGCAGAACCTTTGTACACACAGATATTGTATGACATATTAGAGTGGTAAGGTGTTTTTTTTTGGCTAAATCACGTTTTAGATAGGATGTCAACAACCGCTTAAAAATAACTGCATTAATATGTACAGATAAGTGCATATGTATTTTTTTATTGTTATTTAATTCTATCATTATAACATGAATTGCAGTGAAACTGTTATACAGTTGAATTTATTTATACCATAGTCCAGTGTTTCCCAGGCCGCATATATATGCAAACTCATTCTCTGCCAGCAGGTGGTGCTGTTGGAGAGGTAGAGATCAAGGTTTCCCCGGTAACGGCTGTACACAAAGCAGCGCTGCTCAAAAAAAAAACACTGCTTTATCAGACATTAATTGTTAATAACAGTTAATAACATTTTCATAATTGTAACATACATATTACATACATAATTATTCAGGTGCATGTGTAATAACTTTCGAAAACTTGAGGCTGCAGCAGCACTTCTTCGTCGTCATCTTATCTGATGCACTCAACCAAGCGTTCTAAACACGCCCCTCCCCACACTTATGAATGTTGCGGGGAAATACCGTTTCATAAAACTTCAATGGACAATTTTCATAAACGAGGCCTATTTAAAATTGAGAACAAAATCAAGTTCAAAACAAAGAACAAAATAAAAAATGTTTGGTCTAAAATTAATGAACTATGTAGTATTACAGTAAAAATATACTTTATAATCATAAGAAGGGGTGAGCCACTGGCTCAACTTACCCCAAGACTGTCGGCTCAAATTACCCCACTCCAAACATTTTAACAAACTTGTATCATTCAGCAGTTTAGAGCTAACATCATGCTAACAGTATAGGCTCATATTATAACCTCCTAAATCACAAACACATGCATGATATTTTTTCAGTATATTTGTCTGTAATTGTTCAGACGCAAGAAGTATGAGTCCTCAAATCACTTTGAATTGGTTTTTTTTTTACCTAAATGTAGTTACCAATTATTCCACGGGCCTCTCTCAATCACAGAGTGAGTAAAATGGTTAACTCCTCAAATATGTGTGGTCATATCACCAATTTTGTTGTCTTGAAACAAGGTTGTCTAGAAACAAGGGGTGGCTCAACTTCCCCACAGGCTCAAATCCCCCCGTTCTCACCTAAAATATTTTTGTAATAATTTAGAATAACCTTTTATAAAATATTTTAATATGCCTTTGAGAATCATTTACCAGGGCAGGAATCTTTCTATTTATTTTATAAACGCTCTGCTCAGTTGAGTATGTACTTGTATTTGAGTACAGCAAAATAGTTGCGGTTCCTGTGTGCACAGCAAGCTTAGGATATGCATTTCTATACTTCTAACCGTCCTGTCTCTGCCAATCTCCCACCACAATATGAAATACAATATTCTCTTCTTTTCTATTGGGGCCAGTTGCATAAAAGGTTTAGACTAGTTTTTTCTTTAAAACTGGTTAGCATTTTTTTAATTCAGTTACATAAAAGCATACATTCGTCTAACTTGAATCCCAAAATAAGACCGACTACCCCTTGGCTACATGGACTGACAAATCCTGGAAGTAAATAGAGCAAAGAAGATTTTCGTAAAGCCCAGTTTGTGAGAGCGCATTTCTGATTTATGTGCTCTCAGTCCGTCGGGACAGTTTGAAAAGACTCCGTAACCCGAGAAACTCTGGGGGGGGGTCAACTTTTACTAAAACATTCTGCCTTCTGGCAATTCATGGGTTATCCGGTTTTGATCATATGATGATTAGGTTACCCTCATGCAACATAATGTAAAATGAAAAGCAACGACTGTTAATGTTATTTCTTTTTAAAATTCATTACGGTAATTAATATATATATATATATATATATTAGGCCTATATATTCTGAGACGTGAACTTAAGTGTATTGTCCTTGTTCTGGGTTTGATTTCGATTACTAATTACTCACTCCTTTTGTAATTCATGCGTTTAGCTGGATTGTTGAGTCTGTTTTGATCACAATGCCATTATGTCAATCCACAGAGTTATGAGTCATGTTTTCAATTACACACATTATAAAATCATCTGTTGAAAAATCATAACAGGCAAAGAAATACATTTACAAAACACATTTCAATGATGATTTGTCCTTTGGTGTTTTTTAATAATTTAAAATGTATTATTATTTATGTTTATTTATTTACTTTTTTAAAAAAAAGCGAAATACAATAGCCCTTCATTTCGAAAAACCCAATGATCTTTTAGCCAATGAAAATGATGCTATGCAAGGAAGCGAACGAACGCATTATCAAAAATAGGCCTGTGTCTTTCAAAAAAAAAAATCTGGTGATAGGACCTTAAGGGGCTATTCACACAGGACGTTTTGTTTTATGTTTTATTTTTTGTATTCCACCGAGCTGCTTTTCCGTTGTTTTTAATGTAAAAATGTGACTGACGTCTTTTCACTCCGTCTTGCGTTTTTTGTTGCGCTTTTGCGCATGACACAGCGTTCTAAAGACGCGGCGTTTTTCCCATTCCAATTTTTTTTAAACGCAAAAACACGTTCTGTGTGAATGGCCTCAATGGTTCAACTTTACCTTATACGGCCTCGTTTTCATTCGCGTAAAAACTTAAAGATGCCATCTTACTACATCTGTATTTAACCAAACCATCCAATTAACGGACATTTCTTACTAACTTAATGTCTAGATGCGTCTAGATAACATTGTTTATGTTAGTTTTGTTGGGCGAAATGATAAAAAGTGACAGATATCTGGAATTCAGAGATTGGGGAGGGTTAACCTTCGAAGGGAGGCTGTGATGAGGAGGGAGGAGGGCTGTTAAACGTCAAAGACAGCACAAAGTATTTTGCCACGTAATTACGAGAGCCTTTCAGCTCCATCTTCTCTCCCAGGGGTCTCAACTTTTCATTTACAATCCACTCCACTGCATGCCAGTGAGCGCGCCGTTTGAAGTGCCAGAACGTGTGTGTGTGTGTGTGTGTGTGTGTGAGTGAGCAGAGAGCACGGCTTAGAGCAGAGGAGAGAGCCAACAGCTTCGGGAAGGCGGTGGAGTGTCCTGCCTCCTCTCGCTGCCTTACACACATGCATCTGAAAGGCATCAGCATTTCTGGATCGGCGCTCAGTCAACAGCTTTGGAGCTCGGGGAGTTTTTCCCCCTATTGAAGCAACAATACTTTGCAGAAAGAGTTTATATGGCTACGAGGGAACGGATTCAACAGACTTCGTGGTCTTTATAGTTCTATTAAGTTCCACAAAGTTTTAGACCAGGCTGAAATATTGCTCCACCTGGATAAGTAGCTATCATAGTCAGCAAAGGCAAAGAAGACATCGGCGCTGTTTCTTATGAGTTTGTCTACACATATAGGATACGCAAGGAGGACCTGTTTGGTTAACCTAATACAGTTTTTTTTCTCTTGTATCGTATTTGCGTCATGACTTCTAGCTATGCACATGTAATGGACAGACAAGCAACCATATCCAGCAGACTGGAGAGTCCCATTACAGCCAACCTGGAAAACCTGCAAGCCAAAAAGAACTTCTCGGTGAGCCACCTGTTGGATCTAGAGGAGGCTAGAGAAATGGTCGGTTCTCAGGCGGACGAAAGTGTTGGCGAAACGGGCAGGACTATGCTGGAATCTCCGGGTTTAACCAGCGGCAGTGATTCAACACAACAGGAGAGTAAGTGTCTGCTCATATTCCATAAGAAAATCAAGTGTTGTTGTAGACAGATAGGCAGAATCATTAATATTGAACACTAGAAAATTAACTGACAATAGCAGACTGGTAGCGTACAAAAAACGGTCAAATTTGATGATTACTTGAGTGTGGTGTAGTAAGAGACGGGATTAATCTGTAAATTAAATTTAGGATTTTTAAAGGCTATACTTGCCTACTATAGCTACAGTTTTCATTAGCAAATAGACAGGTGATACGAAAATTCTCTCATGAAAGAAGAAGAAAGAATTCCGCATGATAAAAGTTTATGGGTCGTGAACGCATTTTGTACATTATTTATGATTGTTGACATTCAAGTCCGTAATGCATTCATGAAAATATGGCCCCGTAAGCGTCGCGAACCTGCTTCCTGACATCGACTATATTTTCATCATTTGCTTTATATAATATTTAGCAGAACATATGCAACGGGGGAAAAATATGAAAATGAATGACAGGCAAATGTCTTTTTATTTATTTTTTTATTTTTTTAGTTTTCTTGGTCTAAGGAAAATATGAACGATAAAAAGGGCGCTATAAAAATACAAAAAAATTAAATACTAACAAAATACTAAATCTACTTTCTGGACCTTTCCAGTTCATTGAAGAACTATACTTTGTCATCATTATCGTGCATCCGGAGAACATAGCCTACATATGCGATTATGGTATCAAATAGCAAACTTCCATTACTTATGCCTACTAGGCTAGGCCTATATGCCAAGTCGTGTCTTCTGTGCTTTGCGGGAAATAGGAAAAAATATTTTGTCCT